TACCACGTAACACCAACGCAGACGAGCGTGTAGTAGGTAGTGGAGTTGAAGTCCACCCGTCTTAAAGTTGCCAAGGTTGAGGAACCCTGCTGTAGTGGTTGACTGCAACCCAGACCTGGTCCTCCCTTTTATCAAGGAAGAAGGATTTCCAGCCCTGCTTGGAGATACTGGGAATTGTCCCTCTAACTCTCCGGGCTCGGCCAAGAAGCAGGCTTAAGTGGCTTCTTCCTTTGGCAGCTGTTTCAGCGAAGGCGTGGCATTTTTGAAATTATTTTCTTTCTTCCAAGGGAACAGCGCACCTTGTGAAGCGGTACTTTCCAAAACTACCTGCGTCAATTCTTTTACCTGCTGATCAACCTAAGCGTGAATTAGACTGTGGCACTCCAAGGGACCGAGCTGCCAGGCTGCACACGGCAAGGATGCAATCAGGCGCGGCAAGAAGATCGGAGGCCATGCGCGTCGCTCCATTTTAATCCCACTTGGGCGTTAACCGTTCTCTGTAGATTATCTCAATGGCTGTCGTATTTTCTTCTCAACCGTAATAGCTCCCCTTGTCATTCAGAATTCTCACTGGGGTGTATGCAGTGAGTTTTTGAAGCAATTCTGTAAAAAAGTGGGCAGAAAGAAACGCTTCACGTAGGAACACGCGTCGGCTCCGTGTGAATGAGCCGTAAGCAGGCGTGAGCTTGAGTTGTCAGTCTCTTCTTTCTCTTCCTCTGAACTGGTCGGGAGAAGGACTTAGTGGATTTCAGCTTCTTCACATTCTGCTATGGACGAGGCAGAAATTGTAGCTGTGGACTAAACCAGCATTTGCTGTTGGTTCATTTAAGAATTGGTTACATTTTATTTTAAACTGAGCTCAGCAAACTCAGAAATGTCCTATCTTTAGAAATATCAGAGCTTGCCATGGTTTTAGTTCAGAAGAAAAATGCAAAAATTCATTATGTTCTCAGCTCTAAAAAAAGTTGCTGCAGATCTTGATTTAAGGGCAATTCCAAGAGATACTTGGGCATCAAATAACAGATGTAAGCATTGTTCCAGGGTCAAATATAACCACCATAATTTAAGATATAAATTATCTTATCTATAATTATGTACACACAAACACACACACCCATGTATATGTAAGACTTAAATATTTGTATGTAGCAGGAGGGCAGATTTTCATCAGGAATATGGGACCTTGGAACTTGGCGTTTTACTACTTACAATAGATTATGCCCGGCACAGAGGAACTTTAGATACTGCAGGGCACAGATATGTAAATAATAATCTTTGCTTCTAAGCATGTGTGCTAAAAATACTTCTGGGACATTAGCTAATTCTTTGAATCACCTTTTAAAAGTTCAACCTTAATGGTGTAATAATGTCATTTTGTTCAGTGTAATGTACAATTTATTATCTCACTGTTTCCATTTTTTTTAAGGATGTTAGCACTGACCCAAATGCTGAAAAACTGGCTGCAAAATACTGTCCTCAGGTGGTGCTGACCGGTGAATCCCTCTATACTCTCTTGAACAATCACGGTCTGGATTATAAGCAGCAGTGGGAACTTCCTGTTTCGGTAAAAATAGTTTCTCTTGCGGGTAGGTTTCCTTTTTCTCATTTTAGGGTAGAGTTGGTCTTAACACTATTCTAATGCTGGGTTAGGCAAGTCATTCCTAACTGAGGATGAACCACATCACCAGAACTTTATGATGAGCCAAATAGCTTGGGCTTATGGGCGAATCAGTCCAATTTACGGAAAGTGAGTCCTGCTGAACTGAAAAGTGTTGTACTTTTCTGGAAAAACAAACAAATGTAGTTTCTTTTTAGTACAAAATGTTTGTTGATAATGGGATAGCAAAGAACAGGAAACTGAGCAGGAAAAATAAACAATAGATGGCTTCGCAATTTCTTTTTGATTTTGAACATTAACTGTGTCTGGAGAGTATCGTTAGTTCATTCTAGCTTATTATTCTGCCATGTATTTTACATTGAAATGCTCTCCCTGGTGATTAAAACAACCTCTATTTATTGCTTATTGTTTATGGTCTATTTATTCCCTCCCAACTAATAATGGTAAAAAAGGTTTGGGAAAGTGAATCCGGTTCTTATTGTGTGGGAAATTTTATTTCTTGTACTTCCATGTTTAGCTTATAATTATCTGTTGCTCTTGAAAAATGAAAATCCGCTTTTTCCTTCAAAGGTCTCAAACCAGTCAAAGTGGCCTACATTGACCCTCCTCTCCCTAAGAAGGAGATGACCGTGAGAGAAAAGAACCAGGTTTTTCACGAATTCCTGGCAGATGTTCACATGACAAAGCAATCTAGTGTCGTAGCCCGGGCTGTAATACTAGACAAGCCATCAGAAGAGCTGGTGAGTTTTCGTTCTCTTGGTTTGTTTGTTTTAGGGGCTAAAAGGAACCGAAAGAGGGAATTGTCTTATCCCATAAATATCATGGGATAAGAAGCTTGGGCAGTTGGAGCCTTCCAGGAGCTGTGTTGGGTCAGAGCAACACTCTCTTGTCCAGGAGTTTGGATCTGGACTAACTATTCACACAACTCTGTGAACTCGGCAGGCCGGGCGAAATCCTCCTCTTGAAACAACCGGTCTTCCTAGGCCCACAAAGAAGAGCATAACCACTGACAGCTTTATTCTCCCTGGATTTACTCATTTTAAACCTTCTGAAGTTGGTAGCCGCCACCGTCCCTCGGAGTAGTGTATTTCACAGACTGCCTTTGTCTCGGTGAAACCACCCATCAGTCAGCTTCGTTAGATGATCCCGTCGGGTTCTAGTAATGTAACAGGATGAACCATAGTGCAGAATTTTATACTGTGTCTTCCTCCCCTCACGTCCCTTTCTCCTAAGTTAGCCATTCGTCTCAACTTAGCCGCTCCAGCTTGCCTGCTGGTGTCGAAAACGGTTAAGCAGGGTTAACCTATTCAGTTTGGTGGCCTTTTGCAGAGAATACACCATGGAATTCCAGGGATAAATATTATAGTGAATCACAGTAGCTTGCTCAATGTCGTGGTGAAAACGATGCAATGTGTGAATCCAGACTGTTTCACCACTTTCGTTTTTCTCTTCCAGCCAGGAGCAGAGCTTAAAGCGTGCCAAGGCAGACCAATGCAAGAATCCGTTTCTGCAGATCTGGACTTTGACACGGACGTCACAGAACTTGAAAGCTTTGCCTCTCAAGCTGAGATTGCTCCAGCAAAGCCAGCCGGATTGTCTGCAGTCTTGTCGGAGTATCTGAAAATGGAAAAGGAGTCCGAGTGGGCCGTGAACAGTAGTGCTGGTGAAGGAAAGAGCAGAGCAAAGGAACAGAGAACAGCTTTTAGTAGCGGGAAGACCTCACCCTTGGGGAGTGATCTCCCAGATTGGGATAGGGAGGAAAACTCATCAGGTAAAGGTTTTAAGCCGATGGAAACTGACTCAGATGGTGGAAGTGTTGCTTTGGCCAAAGAAAAAAACCTGGGACATGATACCTTGATCACTTCTTCAGATAAAAATAATATCAGTGGAGGAACTGGCGCAGCTGAAGACGACAGATCGCCTGCCCCGTCCTGCTGCAGTGACGCTGATGAAGAACCTTTGATCATCGACGCAGAATGTGAAACTGGCATTGTGCCTGAATCTTGTGTGGTCACTTCTGACCACAGCCCAGAAGGATTTGCCCCTCCTTCGCCCAGCCCCGGCCAGGCCCTGTCAGGAAAGCCAGCCGATTCTTCAGACATCCAGGAAACAAATGCTCCCTGCAAACTTCGTCGACGATTGTCCCAAAAAATTGATCCCGTGGGGCAGATTTTGAAAATGCAAACTGAACTCCTAAAGCCCCCTTCTCCAAATTGTCAGGGGCAGCTGCAGATAACCAGTGAAAGGAGTTTGAATCCTACCCAAAGCCAGGGGGATTCCCATTCCACCCCCTTGGCATCTTCTTCAGCTGTGGAGCCTGGACAAAATACTTTAATGAATACAGGGAACTCCTCCAAGTTCACCTGGGCCTCCTGTTACCAGGGGCCTCAGAAAGGTAGGTTTTTGGATGGGAGCCAGGCTACCACCCTGAGGAAAGCTGTAAACATTTCAGGTGTGTGTGCGCGCAGTTCCTTAGAACATTCTTTGTTCGGAATCTGTAGAAATTTCACGTTGGGGAGAAAAAATATCTTTAATGGGTGAAGCAGCTGTGAAGTGGGAGAAAAGGCAGTATGACCGTGCTCCCCCTGTCTTTCCTGAAAGGGGTGCTGTGGGATGCAGTTGAAGATGGGGCAGACTATGAACCTCCTCAGCATGGCAACCTGGTCTACAAATTGTTCAGCTTGGAGGACATGCTGCTGTTGGTGCGCACCACCATACAGAAAGTCGAGTTAAGACCGCATCAGAAGAAGGCGAAATTCAGGAGGGTAAGTTCTCTTGCGGGGTGGAGTATGGCTCCCTGGGGGTGTATGATGCTTTTTTGAATTTATATTTCAGCCAGTTCCCATGTTGCCTGCTCGTTCAGCAGCTAGCTGATTCAGACTTTTCTCTTTAGAGTGATCTTAAACTCAGGACTTAGTCTAGATGGGCCCAGAACAGAAAGTTTATTCGCACCTACTTAATTTCCAGATTTAATTAACAAATTAATTTCGTTTATTTATATCATTTATAGAGCATACTCTGGGCAGCGTACAAGGATTAAAATGCAGAAACCACAGCGTATAATCCCTGGTGCTCAGGGATAGAATAACCTCCCCATTCATAGAGAAACACATCAACAGCAACCGAGCTCACCTAACTTCCTGGCCCAAACTCTGGGGAAGCAGGCAGGTCTTCAGCCCTTGTGAAGGGCTAACTGGGTCAGGGCCCTAAACTCATCAGATTAAATGAGGGCAGCCTGTTCACCACAGGGCAGCTTTGAAAAGAGCTCAGTGCTCAGATGACTACAAAGTGGAGTCTAGGACACGTGGTCAACATTTCCATAAAGATACTGCGAATCAATCCGGTTCTGCCCTAGATCCTCTCTCTCTAATTCACACTGGGAAGTTACTCAAGTACTGGCAAACACAGCCTTGCTTTTCCAGACCAGTTAGTAATATTTTACGTATATGGAAGATGCAGGGAGAACCCGGCAGTTCTCGAGTTAAAATCCAACAGTTGATTCCTGCTGTGGTCATTAGGCTTACGGTCATCCGTACGCGCCCCGTTTCTTCCAGTGGACTAAATGTGAGGGTGAGAGTTCATAAGCCATACATTTAGGAGAGATAGAATTCTTTGCAGCAGATTTGCAATATTGATTCTCTTTTAAACTGAGTTTGCAGGGCTGTATTCTAGGATTCATCATCTCCTTTTTCTCTGGATTCCTAAAGATGGCAGCATTGCAGAGCTAAATTCTTAAGTCTCTCCTGAGTCTGCAAGAAATAGGGGTGAATGGCTTTGGTTCTTGGTCACTATTTGCCACTGTAGTCTTATCAATCTGTTCCCAGGGTGAGTAGTATCTGCTAGAATTATATCTTTGACCTTGCACGTGCTCATCCGTGAAACCTTTAGCAGTTTTCGGAGGCTCATGTAGGAGGTTCGTGCCTCGTGTCGTTTGATGTTTCGGGCAGCTTGAGCCTCAGAACTCCTGTCCGGTCAGGTGAAATATATGAAATCGTAGATGTCTGTCTGCCGCTCTAGAGATGTTAACCCCTTTGTTACTCAGGAAGAATTTGGAGGTGAGAGAGAAACCAGCTAGCAAAGGGTTCGCTTCTCTCCCGATTTCCTTTTTCTCCTTTCTCTCAGATTGCAGCCCTGTCTGCAGGGATTGACTCTCCTTTTAACGCTTTAAGATTTGTCGAGTAGCTTAGAATAGGTTAAATGCAGGGAGTCTGCGGGGTACAGTCCACACAGCCAAGATGGCACCTGCGACAGCGCGGTTGAACTTCCGTCTGTCTTTTATGTGTGACAGCAACTGCACCGTGGCAGCCGCCATCCTGGCTGTTGGGACCAGACCCTGCGGACCCTCCTGGTTAGTTGTTTTACGTGTGTGAAATGTTGGGCTCGTATTTTGATGGTCTGAGGGCGCCTTGGCATCCAGAGTCATGCCCAACATTTCTTCAAGCAGACCTAGAAAAGAGCCATTGCTTTTTGAGCAGGGAGAAAAGAGATTGGCCACGGCAGAGGCCTGCAGACAGTCCTGGTGAGTCACCTGTTCACTGGAAGAGCTACACCCGTAACTGTGCCCCCTCACCCCCACCCCAGAACTGTAGGTGTGCCAAACCAGGAAGCCATGACTGGGAAGCGATTTGTGATGGGGACACACGCTGGCACGCTGCACTTTGCCCCTGGTGGCTGCGCTTTTTGAAACAGCAGAATCACACTGTTCAGCCCAGTTTCAGCTTCATAAATGAACTGTACGTGGCAGCGTCATCTGCTTTCTGGAGAATAGAAAATAACAGAAATTGGCTCAGGAAGAACGTTTCTCGGTGGTCACTAATAGTATAACTCAGACGCGTGAATTTTCTATTCTCAATAAACAATAATTCTTGTAAAGATCACTGCTTTCTTGTCGGTCTACATAGCTAATCTCAGAGAAGGCCAGCCCTAGCAACAGATCAAGTTTATGTTTTGATTTTCCAGTAAATACGCAGACTGAAAACACGTTGAAGAGAAAGAGCTTTTGTTTAACTTCATGCGTTTGTTTTCTAGCACTTTCCAGTTTACGTGTTGCCAAAGTTAGAATACCAGGCCTTCTACGGAGTAGAAACGTTAACTGAAGATGAAGTATGTCGACTGTGGACAGAAAGTTTGTTACATTCCAACAGTTCATTCACAGTGGGTCAGTGAATTTCAAGTTTTTGTTTTTTTACCTCTACGCAAAGTGCAATACGATTTCCTTTCTGCAAATTGTTTTATGCAACTGACTGCACAGTGCAATAGAAAGTACATTCACTTCAAGTCACACTCATTGGCTGCAGCTTAAACTATATCATGGCTGCTCTGGCTCCTTTACTGTTTAGCTATGGCCATAGCACCCTGGGGCAGAGGGGAGCAAGGCAAGCCGCGGGCAGAAGAGCTCACAAGATTGTTCAGTGACAGGATGGAAATTCAGTGGGAAGATTCATTACGTTGGTCCATCTTGGAAACTAAAGGTTCTGGAAGGATTCCTGGAAAATACGGTGATTCTGTATCTACAGAACTTGGCAGATCTGTAGAATCAAACAGAAGACAGATGATATGAATGTAATTCACACCATTATAGACATTTTGTCTCAAGGTAGCCGATGCTATCTCTGTCACTCTGACCTGGTGGCTCCTATGGAAATCTCACTCCGAGGGACTGAAGTTCAAAAGCGACAGTAATAAACTGTCCAAGCAGTGTGACTAATTCCATGCTGTTGTTGAGAAATTGGCATTTGGTTGGTTGCACCGGCTGAAGTTCAGAGGAACTTTCTGGTCTGGTGTATGCATTATCTTAAACCATGGTTTATTGGAGAAACCGCAATGGCTGGGTTTCTGCGATAGAGCAAACTGATAGGTTAGGCCAGTGTTTCTCAACCTTGGCAGCTTGAAGATGTATGGACTTCAACTCCCAGCCATT